CCAAGAAGAAAGAAAAAAAAAAAAAAAAAAAAAAAAAAAAAAAAAAAAAAAAACATGTTCAGTAAGAACACCTCCAAAAGACCTGGAGGCTGTTTAATACTGATCTTTACTATTTTAGGGTTGGGAGGAAATGGTATTTTTCATGGTTCCTAGGGTGGAATTAGGAGAGATGTGAGGGTCCCTCAAGTCACGTGGGTGGTGGCACCCTGTCGTTGCAGCAAGGCCTACTTTGGCATCTGGGCAGGTTGCTCAGCTCCCACATGCATCCATCACGGCAGTCATCCCTGTTGTTACCGCTGCTTGAGTGCCTGCCTTTCCCTCGCACGTGAGAGCAGGCCGGGGTGGCCAAGGAGATCCTCCTCCCTTTCATTGTCTGCTTTCCTCAGATTCAGCATCTCCTGGAACCTGAGTGTCTCTGGGGAAAACCTGAATGCCCTTGGGTTACAGGAGGACTTGCTGGAGCCTTTTGACTGCAGTAGGAAATGAATCTGCTCAGTATCTTTCCACCAGAAATGATTTTTTCCCCATTAATATCAAAGACAACTAAAGAACAAAATCAGTAAGTGCTGCAAGCTGCTATAGCTGTGCTCACCGCTGCCTTCCAGGGACCCATGTGCCCTCTGAGCTACTTCTCTGCAGAGCTGCCAGTCCTGCTGTGAGCAGCTGGCAAGAGGGCCACAAAGAGTCACTGGGCATCTGCTGGCAACTTCCCTGGCAAAATGACTGTATCTGCCATGATCTACACATCATGCGGTAGCCTAGTCGTCACCTCTTCTTGTGAATGATGCAGAGAAGTGAAACCTCCTAACTGGTATCTCCTACTACCAATAAACCTATACATTGTGTACATTGATGTTATATCCTGTATTCCCATTACGGATCAGAAACTCATTTTAACTGAGCTTCGAGAAACGTCATGTTATCCCAACCCAGCTATATTACTTTCTTAGCTTAAACAGATGAAGGTAAACTAAGCCACAAAGTCACTTAAATACTTAATATGAACCCCCTAGACTGCAAGTCAGTATTTCCACCAAGAGTTTACAATTTCCAAAGATGTAATTATAGCAGTCGTTATCACGTGTATTAGAGCAGAATAGGCTTGAAAGTTTCTTTCCAAATTCATTTAAGGAAAGAATTGTCAGGAAAGGCAATAAACAAGATATATGGAAAGCTGAATTTTGTTTTGATAATCTAATGTGCATGTCAATGAGTCTCTAATGCAATTCCTGTGCCTGAGGCATCTGCAGTTTAGAGCATGCTGGGTGGGCTGTAGTTTAAGAGCAGCAACAGAGTTAGTGCTGTAAGAACTGCTAGCAGATCTGGGTGCCCACGTTGTAATTGCTCAGTGGGACATATGTTTCTGTGTGGAGAGACTTACCCAGAGCACAGTTTTGTTGAATTTGTTTATTATCTTAAATGGCTCTTGAATTATTGCCTAATGGCTAATTCTTGGCTTATACTTAATTTCACATGGGTCTTACTTCAAGGAGTCGCTGTCCCAGGCTCAGGTTGTTTGCCACTTACGTCAGCAAGAGTTAGTTACTCTTCGGAAGTGGAAAAGTACTGTTCTCTAATACTAAGACTTCCTATGCTTATATTTCTGGCAAGTTAAGTTTATTTTCCACAAATGTGCTCAAATATTCACTAGAAATATATTTCCCAAAGTCCGATTAATATTCCTACTTAAGCAGCTCTAGTAAAGCCCCTGGCAGTACTTGCACAATTGGATGCAGTTCAATGGGCTGCATCCTGCATTCCTGAAGCACAGAAGGGCCGCTCTGTCTTCATAAAACATGGCTTTGGATTTGTAAATATTGCAACAAGTAACTTTACTGACAGAAATGGGAACGGTCTGGAAGCCAACTCTCTGATATTCTTATATCTACTTTAGGCCTTGCCCTGCTACCCCCCAGAGGGTGTCACTGACTCCAACGGAGTGAGTTCTGATCCGTAACAACTCTTGCAAACATTTGGAGCAGTGGAAATGAAAACAGACCTAACATTTCACTTGTTTTAATGGCAACTATTTGGGAATAAGTAGGGAAATTATTCAAAAAACTGTTATGATGAAAGATATGCTCCTGATTTAGAAGTAAACTGACAATGGAGAAACCACAGTAGCTTTAATCCAAATCGCAGCTGCAGTCACAAAATAAAACAGGATGTGAAGGACCATTTCTAGAGGGAGAGGTGATCCAAAAAAAGGAGAAAGTGTTACTACTGAGAAAGAGCTCAGTCTGTGCCCTCTAGGAAAAGCACTCTGACAGTCCCATCCACATGCGGAAACATCTAAGCAGCTGTCTGAAATGGTGCAGCAAAGAGCAGCAAGAGTTCAGAAAGCTTGAGAGTCTCTGAGGGAGCTGGCAGCAAATAAGCACCAGCAACCAGGACCAAGAGACAGAGCAGTTTTTGCAGGTGTAGAAAAATACAAAAATCATTTTCTTTATATGTGCACATACACACACAGATATAATTTTCCCTTGGTGCCCAGGCTCCTGTTTGAACAGCAGCTGATGAGAGGTGGTGTGTGGCTCCTGTGCAACCCTTCCAATCCTCACCAGCTGTATCCCTGCAGGTGGGGGCAATCACAGAGAGCACACAAACCACAGTTTTGACCTGTTCTGGCCCTCCATTTCACTCTGAGGATTTTCTGGGTGTTGTTTAAGCTCCTGCTAAGTGTAGCCCCCCTTTTTCCCCCCCCAATTTGCATGCCATGTGCTCTGGTGCGCACTTTCATTGTTGTCATTGTTCAGGTCTGGAGCTGATCTTCCAATGCCAAGTAGATAGCTGCTATTACAGTCTTCCCAGAGATAAGATGCCAGGGCATTGTCCAGGTAAATGGTGTGTCAACAATGTTGAGACAAACACAACCCATAACAGTCTCTTACAACTACCCAGAAAATAAATGGGAACTACAATGTAGTATGAAGCTCTTTAGTGTTTGCAGAGGTGGTAGTGGATGTCTCCCCGTTGACCTTAAAAAAATGGAACAAAGAAGTAGTGCAAGTGAATTTCTAGCTTCCTTCCAGGGAGATATTTTTAGAGGCACAGCTAAGTGTCTGTGCACGTGCTAACTCTCTAAGCTAAAAGTCTTTAAAAATAGTCTAAAGTAAGGCTTCCAGCTCCACGTATAGTAGCATGATTCTTCCAAATGGGCTGCGAGCCCCCTCCCCCCGCTCAAAAAAC